GCCGAGCCCTTTATACAACTTTCCATAGAGGTTATACTAGTTTGCACTCCCACTAACAGTGTATACATGTTCTTTTCTCCCCACATCCATGACAGTTTCTGTTGTTTTAGGATTTTTTGGATAAAGGCCATTCTCACTGGAGTTAGTTGATATCTCACAGTGGTTTTGATTTCCATTCCCTGATGATTAGAGACATTGAGTGTTTTTTGCCTTTGTTTATTGGCCATTGGTCGGTTTTTCTTTTGAAAAGCTTCTGTTCATGTCTTTTGTCCACTTTTTTGATGGGGTTGATTTTTTCTTGCTGATTTGCTTTTTGTTCTTTACAGATTCTGGTTATCGTCCTTTTATCAGATGTACAGCATGCAAATATTTTCTGCCATTTTGTAGGTTTGCTATGTGCTCTATTGATGCTTCCTTGGCTGCACAGAAGATTTTTAATTAGAAAAAAAATTTCAGGTCCCAAATTAACAAAAATTTGTTAATTTTTCTTGTTGCTGTGATTGCTTTTGGGTCTTCTTTTCATAAATTCAGGGCCAACATCTAAGAGTTTTTCCATAAAATTCTTATAGTTTCATGCCTTAGGCTTAACTGTAGTTATCCATTGTGATTTAATTTTTGTGAGTGGTGAGAGGTGAGGATTCTGTTTCAGTCTTCTTCAAGTGGCTTTAATCTTCTATATGTAGCTCTCCAATTTTCCTAGTGCCATTAATTGAATAGAGATTCTTTCCCCTAGTGTATGTTATTGTCTGTTTTATCAAAGAATAGATGGCAATAAGAAAAAGTTTATTCTTTTATTATATGAAGATATCACAATGTGTTCATCCATACCACTATTGAAACACATTTGGGTTGTTTTCTATTTGGGAATATGATCAATTTTGCTGCTGAAAATATATGTTTGCTTTTTGGTAGAATTTTTGAGACATAATGCCATGCAGTTTTCCAAAGTGGTGGCACCAGTTTTTACTCCAGTCGGCAGTTTTAGTTGCTTCACATTCTTACCATCATTGCAACCTGGTATTGTCATAATTTCTGAAAATGACACTTTTGCCTCTAGAGATTGCCATTCAAACTCTGGAATCAGCT